CTGCCTTTCCCTGCCACTCACTGGAGCTGGAGCATGATTTAGGTTTACAAACAGTTTAATCTGAGGAATGCAGCGGAATGGAGAAGGCCAAAGGGAGCGAGTTGCAGGCTGCTGCAAACCTCTTGAGAAACTCAGTGCTCAGCACTGCACTTTGCTGCCCTTGGACACTGCCAGGCCAGGCTGCTTTGGGCATCCTCAGGGCACTGTGGTCACCTTCCAGCGTGGTGCTACTCGAGCAGTCAAGACCACAGGAGAAGGTTGCATGGGAAGCCAACACCCCCCAGGAGGTGGTTGATGGGGTTTTTTTTTGAGTGGTGGGGGGGGAACACATCCCATTTTATCCAAGATTTGTTTTCCATTTCTCCTCTCTGCCTTTCCCCCACCCCTCCTGCTTCCAGCCTGCTCTTCCCGCTCAGCTCCAGTTATTTTAAGTCCCTTTCCCAGTGCAGGTCAAGGATGCAGCATTTCACCCAAGCCCCTGCGCTCTGAGCCCGGCTCCCCCTGGCACAGCTGGACCCTTGTGGGTTCTTTAACCTCCACCTATTTTATTTTTTTGCCAGAGAGGGAGGGAGCAGGACAGGGACCGTCTGTGCCCCCTCCCTCCTGGCGCTGTCCCCTGCCCCCCAGGGCTGCAGAAAGCAGCTCCTGTTCCCAGCAGCCAGAGGTGCCTTTGCCCTCGAGCCTCTCGCCTGAATCATCCCTTGTTTCCTGCTGCGGGAGGGGAAAACCAACACTTGGCGGGCAGGAGTTTATTTGTGGATTCAACTGGCATCGCTGCCGGGGGGAGGGACGCTCGATCCCCCTCCCCACTGCTGGGTTCCCAGAGCTGTCCCCACCACCGGACCCAGTGCCGGGCAGGAGTGCTGGGCTGAGCCGTGTCCTGGTTCCTGCAGCTTCCCGGCAGGATTCGGGGCCACTGGACTCTCAGGGCTGCAGCGTCTGGGGGCTGGAGGGAGGCACAGACAGAGCAGATATGATTTATTTTCTTCCTCCTGCAGAAAAGTTCAGCCAGAGGCTGGGGAGCCCTTTAATCAAGCGGCCAATTCATGCGGTCCTGGGGAGGAGTAGCCTGGCTTTCTGGTGGCACTTCATCTTCTCGGGCTCTATGGAGGGTGATGGGGATGGCCTGGAGCTCCATCCAGCAGTGCTGTGTCCTGGGCTGGTGGGAGGACAGTGGCTCACAGGATGAAGGATCTCAGCTGGAAGCAGCCACAGGCTCTTCTCACCCAGCTCGAGGCAAGGATGCCTCACTGTGCCTCTGCACCAACTGCACTTGACCTTTCTGGCTTCAGCCATCCTGCCTGTGCCAGCAGTGCTGGAACCCCAGGGGTCCTCCTCCTCCATGTCCTCTGCTGAGATTTGGCAGTTGCAGAGCATCCTTTACAACAAGTCTTTATTTATTGCTCTGTTTTCATCCCTCCCTCTCTCTGGAGCCTTTGCCCTTCCCTCCAGCCACCTGTTCTCCTGCACCTCCTTTGCCACCTCCACCCTCTTGGACCGGGCATCTGTTACCATCACTTCATCCTCCCGGGAGGCCACCCTGTATCCAGCTGGGAACCAGCTTCCCATGCAGTGACAGGGGAGGGGCCACAGATTTCCCCCCCAGCAGGGCACTGCAGTGGGGCTCGGGGCAGGGGGATAACGTGCTGTTCTCTCCCCCAGGCCAGCCCCAGGTGCGAGCAGCCCCCCAGTCCCCCAGCCCTTCCACCCACCTGCTGCAGAACGGGGCCGGGCGGGGGCTGGATCCAGGAGGTGCCAACAGGGAGGCTGGGAACGGGGTCTTCCGCCCCCTCCCCAGCGCTGCGAAACCCCTCTATGGAGGGTGATGGGGATGGCCTGGAGCTCCATCCAGCAGTGCTGTGTCCTGGGCTGGTGGGAGGACAGTGGCTCACAGGATGATGGCTCTCAGCTGGAAGCAGCCACAGGCTCTTCTCACCCAGCTCGAGGCAAGGATGCCTCACTGTGCCTCTGCACCAACTGCACTTGACCTTTCTGGCTTCAGCCATCCTGCCTGTGCCAGCAGTGCTGGAACCCCAGGGGTCCTCCTCCTCCATGTCCTCTGCTGAGATTTGGCAGTTGCAGAGCATCCTTTACAACAAGTCTTTATTTATTGCTCTGTTTTCATCCCTCCCTCTCTCTGGAGCCTTTGCCCTTCCCTCCAGCCACCTGTTCTCCTGCACCTCCTTTGCCACCTCCACCCTCTTGGACCGGGCATCTGTTACCATCACTTCATCCTCCCGGGAGGCCACCCTGTATCCAGCTGGGAACCAGCTTCCCATGCAGTGACAGGGGAGGGGCCACAGATTTCCCCCCCAGCAGGGCACTGCAGTGGGGCTCGGGGCAGGGGGATAACGTGCTGTTCTCTCCCCCAGGCCAGCCCCAGGTGCGAGCAGCCCCCCAGTCCCCCAGCCCTTCCACCCACCTGCTGCAGAACGGGGCCGGGCGGGGGCTGGATCCAGGAGGTGCCAACAGGGAGGCTGGGAACGGGGTCTTCCGCCCCCTCCCCAGCGCTGCGAAGCCCCCCCGCAAGCTGCAGTCACACCACTCCATCAACAGCCAGAGCAGCAAGAAGAGCAAGGGCAGCTCCAAGTCAGCCTCATCCCACATCCCTATTGAGGCACAAGAAGGTACTGGCTCTCCTAGGGGTGGGTCTTATTCCTGCCATTCTTATCCAGCTCCACATCCCTTGGGGTCTCTCCTGTACCCTTCTTCTAGCCCTCTGGGACCCTCAGATCTGGGTGCCAGCCAAGCTCCTCTCCTTGCAGCCTTCTGCAGGGTGGGTGCTGAAGGGGGTCATCACGTCTTCCAAAACTGGTCTTTCTTGGGGTCTGGGCATGTCCCTGGGCATTGAGGGGGGGCCCCTGGAGCAGTGCCTGACTCCCAGCCCCTCTTCCCATCCCTTCCATTCATTCCCAAGGGAGGATTTCCACCTTTTCTGGGGCTGAGCATCCGTCAGGCACAGCCTCACCCAGCCTGCCCGCGGATGCCGGTGTCCCCCTCCCTGCCCACTCTCTGCCTGTTCCTCCTCAGACTGCTGCGTCCACTGCATCCTCTCCTGCCTCTTCTGCGAGTTCCTGACCCTCTGCAACATCGTGCTGGACTGTGCCACCTGCGGCTCCTGCACCTCCGAGGATTCCTGCATCTGCTGCTGCTGCTGCAACTCGGGCGAGGGGGCCGACTGCGACCTGCCCTGCGACATGGACTGCGGCATCATCGACGCCTGCTGCGAGTCGGCCGACTGCCTGGAGATCTGCATGGAGTGCTGCGGGCTCTGCTTCTCCTCCTGAGGGGCTGCACCCAGGGGGGGACACCAGCAGTGGGTCCCCCCCAGCCCATCCCGTCCAGCCCAAGCCGCTGGAGGGGACTCTTAGGTGTGAAACGCCAAAAGAAGGAGGCTGGTGGTGGAGGAGGGTGATATCCCCCCCTTGCAAAGCTCATCCTTGGAGCTGGGGGGCCAGGTGGATCCTGCCTGGGGAAGGATGAATCTGTAGGGCTGCTCCGGGGATGGCTGCCATCCCATCAAGCTCCACATCCCTTGGGGTCTCTCCTGTACCCTTCTTCTAGCCCTCTGGGACCCTCAGATCTGGGTGCCAGCCAAGCTCCTCTCCTTGCAGCCTTCTGCAGGGTGGGTGCTGAAGGGGGTCATCACGTCTTCCAAAACTGGTCTTTCTTGGGGTCTGGGCATGTCCCTGGGCATTGAGGGGGGGCCCCTGGAGCAGTGCCTGACTCCCAGCCCCTCTTCCCATCCCTTCCATTCATTCCCAAGGGAGGATTTCCACCTTTTCTGGGGCTGAGCATCCGTCAGGCACAGCCTCACCCAGCCTGCCCGCGGGTGCCGGTGTCCCCCTCCCTGCCCACTCTCTGCCTGTTCCTCCTCAGACTGCTGCGTCCACTGCATCCTCTCCTGCCTCTTCTGCGAGTTCCTGACCCTCTGCAACATCGTGCTGGACTGTGCCACCTGCGGCTCCTGCACCTCCGAGGATTCCTGCATCTGCTGCTGCTGCTGCAACTCGGGCGAGTGCGCCGACTGCGACCTGCCCTGCGACATGGACTGCGGCATCATCGACGCCTGCTGCGAGTCGGCCGACTGCCTGGAGATCTGCATGGAGTGCTGCGGGCTCTGCTTCTCCTCCTGAGGGGCTGCACCCAGGGGGGGACACCAGCAGTGGGTCCCCCCCAGCCCATCCCGTCCAGCCCAAGCCGCTGGAGGGGACTCTTAGGTGTGAAACGCCAAAAGAAGGAGGCTGGTGGTGGAGGAGGGTGATATCCCCCCCTTGCAAAGCTCATCCTTGGAGCTGGGGGGCCAGGTGGATCCTGCCTGGGGAAGGATGAATCTGTAGGGCTGCTCCGGGGATGGCTGCCATCCCATCATGCTCTACCTCATCCCCACACCCAGCTGGTTTTCCAAGGATGGTGGGAGCCTTCTGCCACCTGAGCCGAGAGCAGGAGCGCCCGTCCCACGTCCCACAGAGCCCTCGGGTGCCACCAATGTGTGGGACAGCCACTGCCACCACCAGGGCTGCCCCAGGACAGTGCTCTGCTTTACACAAGGGTGTCATGGAGCATCCTCCCCCCGGCCCAGAGACATCTCCAAGTTCAGAGCCTTGCTCCCTGCTGGGAACCCACCGGGAGATGCTGAAGCCTTTAGCCAGGCTGTGTGATCCCGTGCCATGGGACACATCCTGCCAGCCCCCACCCCTCCTTGGTGCTGACATCAGCAGCCAAGTGCAATACACACAGCCCCCTCCCCTCCCTATTTTGCCAGCTGGGAAGAAGCTTTTCCTCCACCAGTCCCTGCCAGCAGGGTTGGAAGCAGGGACCAGGGCAGCCATCCTGGATGGAGAGAGCCTGGAGCTGTGCTGAGATGTTACTGACCCTCCATGGGTCCCAGGGGGGGTGATGGGTTCGTTGGTGCCAAATGACCCCCAGCAGTTGTTGGCCCCTGTCCCATCACCCTGGGGACAGGACTCGTGGCTGGGTAGGGGTGGAAAACACCCCATTGAAGGGCTGGGGAGAAGGGGATGAAAGTGTTATGGTATTTTATTATTAATTTTTTTTGTTGTTCCTTTCATTTGTTACTGTAAATAAAGGTCTTTCTTCATTTCTGACCAGCAGCTGCTGCATCCCATGCTCCACAGGGCACTCCCAGGGGGTTTGCTACTCACAGCTGCACAATGTCCCCATCCCTACATCTGCACCCCCTGTCCTGCTCCCAGCTCTGGGGGCTCCTTTGGCTCTGGGGACTTGGGACAGCTCAATGACAGCCCCAGCCTGCCCCTGCTTTGGTTCTCGTGCCAGGAGGGGAAATGCAAGAGTCTCCCTGTCCTTCTAACAGGTTGATGTCCCAGTGTCCTGCAGCCTGGCTGGGGTCCCCAGCCATGGGACAAGCCCTGGCCCCCTTGCACCACTGTCCCCTGCTCCTCCCAGGGCTCTGCCCTGCAGCAGAACCCACGAGCTGCTTCATCTGCCCCAGGGACATGACTTCCCTAATGGAGAAGAACAAATGATGTTAATTCCCTGCTGCAGGGCTTGGGGGGGGGGGGGGGCCG